ATCATTATCATTATTATCATTATCATTATCATCATTATCATCATTATTATCATTATCATTATTATTATTATTATTAAAGCTCTGGTTTGAACTTAGACAAAAGCAGCCAGAACGAGGAGGCTGATCTCAGTGGAGGACAGAAAGAATAATCACGGGTAAAAAGAACAAACAGAAAATTGGAAGAGGAGAGAAGATCAAAACAGAGAGAGCGATTAGATGAGGAGTGGGGGGAACTCATCAAGGAAGAGTTTGGGAGAAAATATAAATGCAGGAGAATGAGTAACTGGGTGGCCAGAGGAGGGAGATCAGAGAGATCGTAATGTTTCAGAGCCCTTGACATAAAAAATAGAGTGTAAGGGTTAAGAGACAAAATTGTCAAGTCTTTTGATACACGTCTGCCCCTGAACCTCAGCCCTCACACCTGTGGGGATGAATCCCTGACACTGCATCCTTCAGCTCCTTAAATGGATTACTAAACAATACTTAGAAGAGATTTTAATCAGAATTATCTTAAAGATGTGGGTTTTTTTTTCTTGTCTTGTTTTCTGCAAAGATAGGCGTAGTTCTGGCTTGCCAGTTGCCCGTATCCTACAAGGTGAGAAAGGCATGGGAAGATGCATCACGGGTCTTATTTAGAGGGGGTTGAGCCACTTTGTTAAACTAGACCAAGACAGTAATAAAATGTTCCTAAACCAGACGACCGATACTAGACCAAGATAGTAGGAATAAAATGTTCCTAAACCAGACGACCGATCTCATGCCCCTGCTATTTTCTGCTCCCTAGGTTTGCAGAGGCACCCTCCAGGTTCAGAGTCGGTGGAGCAAGTGAGATGGCACCTCCAGACTAGAGGTAGGGCATGTTCCTGTTGGTAACTACAGCTTCGAGCATCTACCAGTGACAGTCTACCAGAATTGGGGGGTCATGGGAGTTGTGATCTGCAAAACCAGGCTCTGATGGTCACACCAACTGGTTTTAAAATCGCAGAAACTCACTTAGGAGCTCGGCTTCTCTTTCATCTTTCTCCTCCTTTCTCTTTCCTGGATAACTCAACCATTTGAGTATCAGGTTGGAAGTTCGATTCCCCACTGGGGCTGGACTGGATGACCCCTGGGATCCCTTCCAGCTCTTCAGTTCTAAGATGAGTATTACAACATTTATTTCCTTTATTTACACATTTGCATTCCACATTTTTTTTAAAAAAATCACTGCTTAGCTTGTAAATGGTTCTAAAAGCAAGAACAAAACACAGCGAAAAAGATGGAAACGTAAAAAATAAAGAGTGTAGCAAAGAAACAGCACCGAACAAGCAAGTCAACAGGCACAGAAATTAATCTGGAATTAGAAATAAATAGATCTCTTCCACCTTTATTTGAAGTAAAAAGGGGAGTTGAAGTATATAAAATAAACAATCGGACAGAAAAGAAAAGCAGCTAGGTGAAAGGCTGTGGCTTCCGCCTTCGTTTACTGTTTTTGAAACCATTATAGGTAAAAGCAAAATAGAAATAAAAAGGGGGAAGAAAGAGACAAAAACTTTTCAATTTTGCTTTTACCTATAATACTTTGGAAACCACTCTTTGCTTCCCTTTGACCGTCTGATGTTAAATAGGATGTTATTTAATCAGTACTTCTTTAGCTCTCCAAGGGAACAGCAGTTTTCACAGAATTTAACTCCATTTCTGAACATTTTTTGCACAATACTAAATACCAGTTAGTGACCTGCTTTTGTGGGTTTGAAGACAGGTGGCACCTTCTCAGCCCAATTCATTTTTCCTTTGGTTCTGCTCCTGTTCCCTTGCTTAGAATGTCTATTTATCCAGTGTGTATCCACACAACTGCACTGAGTTCCTGTCCCCATTTTTAGCAGCTTAACAGGTTTAATGAGCCGTTAGGCTGATAAATGCTTGTCTCAATAGTTTTGATTCTTCCCCCCTCTCCCCCCAAATCAGGCAAATCTCCAGATAAGAGATTTATAAGCTTTTCTGATGTAAAAGTAAACAATGTTTTTGAATAAACAAAAATATATAAACAATTACAACATCCAGTGACGTTTGTTTGCTGACCTTCCCTATGTAATGAGCTAATACGTTCTTCCCATTGAGGGTTGCCAACTTTTCTTCTGCCTGCCGTCTTGTGCCTTTAAAGCACAGGAAACCCAGAGAGAACAAAAACACTGTGAGATGCTGGAGAAAATTATAAATATATGAGAGCATAAGATCTCCTATAATATACCATCCACCCCTCTGTTGCAAATTCCAAGTCCAGAGTTGGGGGAAAATTGTTTGTGTGTGTGTGATTTACAAGTCTCAGAACCCTCCAGCTTCCTGGTCAGGGTGTTTCTGGAAGCTGTCATTTTAAAGAAGTAACTTTTCCAAGTTTCCTGCCCAGATCTCCTAAACACTTTATGTACTTCTTGCTGCCGCGAGGCTATCCTAGCTGGCGTTGAGAAATCTCTCACTGGCTTTCTTGGATCTCTTGCCGTGAACAATCTGAAATAAACCTCTATGGGGTGCTTCGCCCTCCACCCTGCCTGCCTGCTTCCTCTGCTGGAGCCAGGCAACAATTTTCTCTCTCTCTCTCTCTCAGCTGCTCCGGCCTTTTGTCCACCTCTTTCCACGGAGTATGCAGGTGCTTTTGTATGCGCACTGCTGTTTATCAGATCCAATTTTTATAAACATCAGAGGACGGAAGCAGCAAAGAGCGAGCCGGACGGCTCCGTTTGCATGAGATGGATCTTTGGGGACCGACAGACCTGCCTTTCCTGGCCCTCATCTTTCAGGGCTGCCCTTTGCGTAGGGAGTGATACCTGCAGGTGAGAAAGCAATATTCCTTTTCTTGGCTTCCCTAGTTTAGAAGATTCCCCCCTGCCATTTTTTGTTTCTCTCAAAAACTTTAATTGGCCAGACTCAAAGAAAGCTGGCACCCAGGACTTGGAGAAGTTACTTTTGGGGGGATTGCAGCGCCCAGAAGTCTCACCCAGAATGGCCAGGAGTTTCTGGGGGTTGTAGATTAGAATGGGAAAAAAGTCCCCCCCCCCCAGTTTCCTAAGCTTTGGGTTGCATTTTACCCACTGCCTCTGCTTTGGAGAGCAATATCTGCCGCCTGCTCCCCCTGCTCCCCAGCCCTTTGCACCTTTGAGGCTTTTTGGCTCCCGACACGGACAAAAGCAGAAATGAACGGCGCAGAATGGCGTTGGCTGGTCTCGAACACAAGATCATCACTTGTGAAAGCACCTAGGGAGTGGTTAGCAAAATCGTTGACAAAGGAAAGGATGATTGAAATGGAGTAGCGGAGAGTATGACTGAAGGAGAGGGGAGGAGGTGTGAAACAGGCATTTAAGTTTGTTAAAGAAAGCAGGCTTTGGGCATCTGCCAGTCAGAACCACCGTTATAGGGCTAGACAGAGAAACAGAGGTGGTCTAAGGCAGTTTTCTTCCAGATACGGTTTACTCTGCAGTTCTTTGGAAGCTTGTCTGGGGCAAAAAAACTGCAGTCCAAAGCCCTTTTATCAATAGGCTGTCAGTTTCTGCAGACAAGATTTTCCTAGCATGGATTCAGGATGCTTGAAATGTGGAAATGAGATACAGAAAGCTGACAAAAACTAGGCGAGCTGCCATCCAGGTGAAATACAGCAGCACCTGCGAGAGAGGTCAGGAATAACCCAGAGAATTTCCGCCCTTTCCTTTCTTGTTCCACAGATGGATGGCCTTCCTCAGCAGGTAAGGAGGGCTGATGAGCCAGCCACCCGCGGATGCTCACGGGGGACAAGAAGGCCACCCTCCCAGGATGGATGTCCTTGAGAATTCTTCCTCGGACCAGCAGTGCTTCCAGACCCCGAAGGCCACGTACTCCCTGGTTCTGGACGTCCCCTATTTTCTGTGCGAGAGCCTGACCGCATTGCTGTCCATTGTGGGGAATCTCTTCATCTGCGCCGTCATCCTGCAGAGCAGGGAGCTGCGCGTCATCACCGCCAATTACTTCTTGGTCTCCCTGGCCGTAGCGGACTTTTTCGTAGGGGCGGTGGTCATCCCCTGTGCCCAGGTGACCGACGTGGGCTTGCCCCGGTACAGGCCACAGCTGTGCCTCCTGATGCTGTGTACATTGCTGGTGTTCACTCAAGCCTCGGTCTTCGGCTTGCTGGCTGTCGCTGTGGAGAGGTACGTCTCCATCTTGAAGCCTTTCCAGTACAGAGCCTTGTTGAGCCCTCGCAACGCGCTCTTGGTTATCTTGGCCTGCTGGGTGCTGGCTTTTGTGAGCGGCCTTCTGCCCTTCATGGGGTGGCACGGCCCCTTTCCAGCCAGCGGGGAATGCCTCTTCAAGAGCATCATCCAAAACTCGTACATGGTCTACTTCAATTTCATCGCGTGCATGCTGGTGCCGTTGTCGATCATGATGGTGCTGTACGGGCGGATCTTTCTGGAGGTCCGCCGCCAGATCCGCAAGGTGGCCGAAGGGGAGGTAGACCTCAGCGCTCATGAGAGACGCCGGATCATTATCCGGAAGGAGCTGCAGACGGCCACCTCCCTCTTCATCCTCATCTTCTTCTTCACCGTCTGTTGGCTCCCGGTTCACATCCTGAACACCGTCGCCCTCGTTTGTCCCTCCTGCTGCATTCCGAATCTGCTCGGCTTGACGACCGTCATTCTCTCCCACGCCAACTCCGCCATTAACCCCGTGGTGTACGTCTTCCGCATGAGATCCTTCCGGAAGGCCTTTGAAGGAGCCCTCTCTCGCATCTGCTACTCCTCCACCGCGGGCACGTTTCCTGGGTCTGAGGCCATGCCCTCCGCCATATTGGAGGAGCCACCCCTTAGGAACACCGCTCTGCCGGGAAAATAAATTCGGAGTTTGTAGTCGATCGGTGTCTCCGGGGAAAAGATTTCAGACCCAGCAGGACTTACTGAAGCCCTCACGGGGAAGCTCTCCCTGAAGGAGCATCAGCAAATACTGATCAGTATTTGGTTGAAGGAGGCCACCACAGAGTATTGGGGTCCCCAAGTGAGGCTGGGAAGGAAGGGTGCCTCAAGACTCTTGAAAGACAACACTGGGATAGATGGAACAATGGCTCAGTAGAAGGCGCCTGCTTGAATTCATGAGGTCAAGGTCTTGATCAACCATTGTGGTAGGATCCAAACAGGCAGTCCAGTCTTAACAAAAACAAAAACGGACTCCTCCAGCAAACCTGCACTTTCCCCTATCCTCACATACGTTCTTCTGCTGCTTCGGGTGAGGAACCTATGGCTAAACGGCGCATGGATGCTCCCCACGGTGCATCCCTACACACTGGGGAACTTGGATGTTTCTTTCCCATCTAAGATTACCACAGTCATTGCTTCCACCTTTTCAAGCCTTATCTTTCCACTCTCAGGACTAGAAACTTGCTCCTGTAATGAAAGCAGAAGTTGAGATTCTCGAGGAATGAAACTCTCCATCCGGTGCCACCTCGTTTGGGTCGCCTCCTCCATGTCCCCATGCCTACTGTCTAACGTGCATCATTTGTTTCAACCAGTTTGGGATGTGTATCACTTAATGAAGTTGGCCATCGTCTAACAAGGCGGCCACGACTCTGTGCTATGGAATCCTGGGATCCATAGTTTACTGAGGTACGGAAGGCTTTGGAGCTGTCTAGCAAAGAACTGTAAGTCCTTCCCATAACTACAGAGTCCATAGCAGTTAAAGTGGGATCAAAGTGCAGCAATTCTGTAGCACCAATGCACTCAAGCTGCTGTAATTTTTGTAAAACAGATTAAGTGTTTGGAAATCTCCAGGACAGGCCCCTATGGACACGTGGAGCATTATTATGATTATCTTTGTCTCTTCTTTTAAGAATCATAGTGTGGCTAAGGAACCATGCTGGAGGATTCTGGGAATTGCAGTCTCAAAAGATTAGGTTTTGATACTTTTTTTCTCTTGTACTACTTTTGGGAACTGCCTTCTCCTGTGATTTGTCCTCAGTAGTTAATGTTGGGAGGTCGAAGCCTGTCCTGGAGGGTTTCGTTTAATGATCAGGATAAGGAGATTCCAGAAGGCCATAGCTCCAGAAATGCATCTCTCTCTTTCTGTCCCCTCCCCTCTGTTGATAAACTTTTCTTGTACTGTATCTTAAATGGTAATGTTTCTATATTTTGGGTTATGGTGAATGTCAGAAGTGGGAGCTGCAACAAAATGTTGGAGGATGGGCTGTTGCCCTTCAGAGCAATTAGGACTTTTTCTAAATATTTAGCTTGTGAAAATCCAGTAAAAAATAAATCTTGGGATTCTCTCAAGTGCAGAGCGCCTCTCTCTTGTGTCACGGTGATGCCACGTGGGCTACATAAAGACGAGAGCTTAGAAAAGTTGTTTTTCAGACTGCAGCTCCAGAATATCTCAACTGTGCTGGCTGGAGGATTCTGGGCAATGTACATAGAAGAACATTCCCCTGCAAGCTTTAATAAAAAAAAATATATTCCACGTGCAAAGAGGGCGTCTGCTAGGAGCTGCTGGATAGCTCAGTGGTTTAAGTCTCCAGCTGTGGAGCCAGAGGTTGGGAGTTCAATTCTCCCTTGGTGCCTCCTGGACAGGGGCTGCACTCAATGATCCAGAGGGTCTCCCTTCCAGCTCTGCCATTCTAAGGCGATGATGATGATGATCATACAAATTGTGTGAAGGACCGCTTTCCTAGCAGGCTGAAGTCCTTGAGTTCTGGTTTCACGTAGAAGAGGAAACATCCATTTAACTGCCTTCCCAAATTTCCCCATGCTCTAAGCTGACTCCTGCCTAAGAGATGTATCCACACGTTAAGAACAAAAAAGGCATAAAAGCAAAAGCAAAACAAAATAAAAGCAAAGCGCCTTTGAGACTGGGAAACGTGTATCAGTGGGAGCGTCAAGGGATGAAGAGGGAGATTGAAATCGATGAAATAAATGGGCTGAGTCTTTAAAAGGGCCAGAATGCTTCGGTTTTGGTTTTCGATTTGTTGAGGTTGAAACAAGCTAAGAGCGCTCTGTGTCTGGAAACCTCTGTCTATGCATTGTCCACAAGAGGGTGCAGTAAGACTGGTCCTTACCTACACCGAGGGTCCCTTCCTTTCATTCCAGCAGGAACTGAGGACCATCCAGTCTGGGCCCACAGGTCAGATCGAAGAAGAGATGAACCAAGCCCCCTGCCTGTTTGTGTCCCTGAGGTGCTGCTGCAAAATTATTTCCTAGGGGCTCTACTTCTTGGGGGGGGAGGGCTAAGAGCATCCCCCATGTCCTGGACGAAGATCACAGGCATTTTACTACTAGAACCCAAGAAATTCAACCTGATGTAGGTGAATAGTGTGAGACACTCCAAGCTCTGTTGACATGTTGCCATCGTTGGCATCTATGCTCAGTGACAGGACTCTGTTGTGCAAAGTTTAGAAAAGTTAGTGTGTTCCCATCCAGGCGGCATGGCCAGTGGCTAGATAGGCTCTGGAAGCTAGAGTTTATTTGTTTATTAATTTCTGTTTCTGAAATCTGCAGTCCCGGAGGTTTTGAAGTAAAAGATAAGACAGCAGGCCCCTAAACATACGCAAAGCGCCCTGACAAGAACAAAGACGAAAGAGTTGGTAGGCAGGGTTTTTTTAGCAGGAAATAGGTCACTTCTGGAGAGGCTGACTGTCTAGGTTGTGAGGCTAGACTGATGTGTAACAGAATGTGCTGGAGGAGAGCTTTGTGGATACCTGGGAAAGACGAACAAGTGGGTCCTAGATGAAATCAATCCGGATCTAACTCTGGAAGCAAAACTGGCCTGCGTTGGGCACGACATGAGAAGGCCGGATTCCCTGGAAAAGACCATCATGCTGGGAGAAGTGGAAGGCGGTAGGAAAAGAGGAAGACCGAATATGAGAGGGCCTAACCTCCAAAGCCCATGCTTTGCACCCACAGAGTATTGTGCAACCCCCTATGATCTGGCTAACCAGTTTAGCTTCCCATTCCACAGACTGGCAAGAGGGCCAGCTGTCCGGATTGGAAAATCTCCCAGAAGATCTTGGGCTACCACCTGCTTTGGGCAACCGTGGACCCTCTAATCATCCTGAACGTTCTTCTCTTGCCCTCCTCCCCCTGCCTTCTTGAATTAAACATCAGGAGCCTGCTGTCTGCCCATTTCCTGAGCAGGAGCCGAAGCCTCTGCAAAAACCTCTGACTTGATGAAATCTGAGCCCCAGCTTGCATTCAACCTGAGCTGCAATATTGAGCTGCATTTTCTTGGTCAGAGATGCGATGCCTGGTGGGAGGAGTGGGAGGGTGATGGAGAAATCGACGTGGGCCCCCGAGAGCCATTAGGAGCTGCGTCTCTGAGGTTTTCGCCTTCTCCCTGTCCCTGCTGAACAGAGAACTCCGAGAAGCGTCGCTAAAGGCCACAGCACACTTTATAGAACAATGAACATACCAGTTAAAAGGGATCAATTGTCAAGACAGCCAAGAACTGTCACACAGGTCAGTAAGTGTCAAGGTCTCCGGCTAACCGTCATTGACCTTAGCTTTCTAGGCCATGAGCAACAAACACAAGCATGGCCTCCTGTATTAATAGGAGGGGTGGGTAACCTCCAGGGTCATTTTGACCCCACCAGGAGCTGCAGCTTCCAGCACTCTCCCAACCCAAGACGATTTTTAAAAAAGCCTTTTTAGGCAAACAAATTGCAAAGGAGTGTGCATGCTGCATGTACTTTTAAAGGAAGTGTGCCGCTCTTAGCTTTTATCTAGGAAGATCCAGCACAGTATGGGCCAAAAAGCTGCAAGGTGAGGAACAGGTTGACAGCCTAGAGCCCGCAGGTCGTCCAGCCTTGGTCTGTAGGCTGAGAGTGCAGCTAGATTTTCTCAAGAGCTCCTTTGAATGTGAAAGGCCCAAACACTCTTTATCGCCCAGTTAAAGTCCGAAAGGCACCATAGAAGATGTTTGCGTTAAACCGGCCTTGGTTTACCTTCCCTGCCCCCCCATCCTACCATGCTGAAAATGTCATGAGCCACCTCGGGAAGTGTGTTCCCTGCCGCTCCCCCCCCCCTTTTCTATGAATCTTTTGCCAACTCCATCTGTCCCTGTATAAAATTTCCCCTGGCGTAGCAGCTGGATTCTTATGCACACAGTCAATTGATCATCCCCTTGAGGACAATGGATACTTCAAGTAAATTTGTTTTTCAGCAAAGCTGCAGCGCCAGAAAAACATGCTACGAGCATGCACAAGGCGGTAAAAGGTTTGTCCTGTATCCAAGCGGCACAAAGTCACTTGCACTGGCTGTGGAGGATTAGGGTTTCAAGATGGGGCGGGGTGGATTGGAGAAGAGAAAGCCAGCGGGTTCTTAGGAATGAGCTCATGCTGATATGGAGCAAGGAAGAGACTAACAGATAGCACAGAGGAATAGATACCAGGCACAGCATGGAAAACAGGCAGGAAAGTGCTTTGGGGTTTAGGGACTACAGTATAAATTACCCCCAAGTAGTTTATATTTTATGCACAGTTGTATCACTGTATTTGGCCAGATGAACTTGGGGAAAATGCTTCTCATTCAAACGTTCCACTTGGATTGGTTTCACAGCACTCTTAACAGGGATGCATCCAGTTTTTAAACCTATAAGGCAAACCCCCGACTCTGGGAAATATGGTGCTTAAATATCACTACCCTACAGACGATGAATGCATTTCTCTCCTTTCCTGAAAGTTGAGTTTTCAGATCTGAATTTGGGAAACCTTAAAGGGTTCATGTTCAGCTTTGATTCAGGCAAACATACATTTGGTTCATTTTCTCCATAGGTAAGTTTTATTCTGAACTGGAGAGCTAAAGGTCATCTGGAGATCCTTTTAAGAAGTTGGGAGCGGGAGGGAGACTTCTAAAATCAAAGCAACCCTGTTGCTGTTCTTGAGCTTAAAGCCTGCAACACCACACAGATCACCAACCTCTATGTCCCATGCATGCAGGATTCCAAGGGCCCCCAAATGTGTCAGGGAGCCCGTTCAGCCTCAAAACACGACGTCAGCTCCGGTACCCTTTGCTAAGTGGATCCACACAAGGGAGACAGCTCTGCTGCCATTTAAAGGGAAACTGCAGAGCAGAGGCAATAGAGATGGTGGTGGGGAATGGCAAGAGGACCGTGACTCATTCCAGTGAAAAGGGCAAAGGAAATAAAAACCTCCAGGTCCTGGAGTGAGTTTTCTCCTGCTATGCGAGGTCTCCAAACGAACAAAAAGGGCTTCAAGGGACAAACATATAATTCAGAATTTGGGCACACTGCTTGGCCCCCTTTAGCCTCAAATTTCCCGCCTTTCCAGTATCCATCCAAAATTCAGAATTCTCCAGGGATAAGAGTGAGTCAGAAACAAGCACACCTAGAAATGTAACAAAATGTTTATTGCCCCCCCCAAAAAACAACACAGCAAGGATTTGGAGAAGTAGAATTATCTGCCAGCTGGTAATTCTCCTTACCAGACGAGTAGCAGATTATAAGCTTCTTTTATCTGGCCCCTGAATATTGAGAAACAAGAACCATTCAAATAACTAATCACTTAAGTGGCTAGGGCTACATGAGTCTCTTGATCGTGGCCCTGGGTCATGTTCCCGTGCTGGCACGACTCTGGGCCATTCACAACCATCTGACGGCTAATCACTTGCCAGCGATAAGGGGGTTCCTGAGCACCACAATGACCGAGTCTCCACGCAGGAACATCTTAGAGATGTAGCGATCCTTGTTGACTGGCTTTGATTTCTTCTTGCCCTTCCCGCTCTTAGGCACCTCCGTCCACATCTCCTTGACATTCTCCAACACCATGTTGCAATGCCTGGTGGGGGAGAAAAAGAGGTCACGTTGCACGGACACAAGAGGCAAGATCCTATCTCCAACACACTCTGCTGCCAAGTGACACATCTTCTCCGGTCTTTAAGCCAGGTTGCCGCTCCCCTCACCAACCCACTCTCTTGTCCTTCTGTCATCAGGCAAAGACTGAATCTTTAAAGCTATGCTATCGCTGTTTATTTCACAGCTGGTGACTCAAAGTGCTATAAATCTACAGAAGCTCTTACGAACCAGAGGAAGGCACACAGGTGAGATCCTACCTGTCAAAGGCCTTGACACGCCCCAGAAGCTTCTTGTTGTTGCGGCAGTTAATCAGCACTTGAGTGTTGTTTTTCACGGACTGTGTGAGGACAGAAAGGGGGCCCGTGTTGAACTCTTCCTCCTCTCGCTTCTGCAGCTCCTCTGGCGTCATTTCACTCTTGGGCTTGTTTAGAAGGCTCCTGAGAAGCAGGAAAGGAAATGGGTCTTTGAAAACTCCATGCTTATGACGCAGGGACCTGATGAACAGGGTAACTGGCACCACCTAAATGCAATTCATCCTCTAGAACATTTCCTAGTACAGTATTTATTACAGCCCAGCTCCTGCTCTCAGCACCACGGATGTACCAACTAGGGTGGAGAACTATCCTGTGGCTTGATTCCGTCTCTGATTATTTTTTTCAGAGGAAGGAGAGTTAATATATATGATGTTGCCATTCTACAGAAGGCTATTATCAAGCTGTTACTCAAATTGGAGAGGAATGAGATTCAGAGAGTTTAACTAGTGTCTCCCACACCCTGAAATGCAAAATCACAGCCTTACATTCTGTAACCATTTACGGACAACAAACCTCACCTTGTCACTCAGCATGCACCGAAAGTAAGGGTTTAGTCTTTCTGTGTGTGGATACAAGAAGAATGTAAGGACATATGACTTATCAAGACAAAATAGGTTGCTACAGATATTAGGCTAGACTTAGTTGTGCTTTGAGTAAAGCCACTGAAATGAATGTGGAAGATTAATTATAGATGAAATCTCACCAATTTAAGGGATACTATTCTAATACGGATGCAACCCATTCTTTCATCATCATAACGCCCATGGCTACAGAGTGAAAGGCCAGGAAACCCCAGCAGGCACAGGCTTGGAATAATCCTGGACGAGTCGTTTCCCAGAAAGTAAAGCGGGATCTAAACTCTCAGTGCCTTGAACTCCCACAGATCTAGTGAGACCAGCTCTTCTAACCAGCTCATTCCCCTCCACAAATTATACAAAAGGGGGGGGGGGTCACCAGTGCATTATTGCTATGGTGCACAGACAGGCTTCTGGGCCAGAAAACACTGTCGGCGTGTGAAGGAAAACAGAAAAGGAGCCTTAAGCGCTTCCTGGGAAGAAGAGGCGCACACAGATCTAGTGAGACCAGCTCTTCTAACGAGCCCATTCCTCTCCACAAATTATACAAAGGGGGGGGCACCAATGCATTATTGCTATGGTGCACAGGCAGCCTTCTGGGCCAGAAAACACCGTCGGCGTGTGAAGGAAAACAGAAAGGGAGGCTTAAGCGCTTCCTGGGAAGAAGAGGCGCATGGAACCCATGCCTCGGAAGAAGCCGCTTAATCTACATCCTGCCCCCAGAACGGCAGGATGTGTCCCAGTCCGGAGAGAGGATGGTGTTTGCAGACACTGAAGGTGCAGGTGGATATGGGGTGGTGGTGGTGGTGGGTTAGTAGGAAAGAGGAAGTCAGGGAGCGTCTCCCATCCATTGGAGGAGCAATTACAGGGGGACCCTCCTATCCGCGGGATCAGTATCCGCTGACTCACTTATCTACTACTGCCTAAAATACTAAATAACTCTCCCCCCCCTCGAAATGCGTGTTTGTTTTTCCAGAATGTATTTACCAGAACTGGCCATTAGAATGAGCCAGATACAACCGCGTTTTTCGGCCTCCGCGGGGGGGGCGCTTGGAAACCATCCCCCACGGATACCACGGACCTACTGTATTAAAAAAAAGGAGCCCACGCTTTTCGGACACTTACGGTACCCCCCCCTCGCCGCCCCCACCACGTAGCAACAGCTCCCCATTTTCCGAAACCCGCTTCCTTACATGATGCCGCCGTTCTCTCGCCGACCAGCGTGAGCTACACCTCGGGTCGTCCTCGCAACGACGGGCTGCTTCCGTTTCCGGGGGAAGGATCGCCCGGGGTCGCGCATGCGTGGTGGCGACCGTGCGAGCGGCTCTTCGCCTCCCGAGCCACGGTCTCGATGGCTACAGCTACGGCCCGCAGGAGGGGCCAAAAGACGTCGCGGCGCCCCCTTGGGGCTTCGCGAAGCTATGGCCCCGTGTTTGTAGCCCTTTTAAAGAGACGCAAGCGCCAGCTGCCACTTTTTTTTTTATTGTTATTATTATTAGTAGTAGTAGTAGTAGTAGTAGTAGTAGTAGTAGTAGTAGTAGTAGTGGTGTGGGGTGGGGTGGTTTCAATGCAAATTGTGTAGCAAACTCTCAATTGATGGTACCCACAAGCTTTTAAACAATGTTTTTCTTGGAAAAAAATGGAAATTTTTGGAAATTTTACATCTCTCCTCCCAGGTAACGCCAGATTTCCCTGCAAACACCAGAATGGAAGCTAAAAGCTTATACTTTAGCAAACAATTTATTTTATTTATTTATATTTTAAACTTCTAAGCCAACAGTCTCTCTGGGTGGTGTGTACAACATAGGCGGTATAAACAAGAGGAACATAGAATTCAATGAAAGAGCAATTAAACTTTAAAAGTATTCAGGTTTTGGATAATTTATTATATGTAGTAATATGGTTTATTGCCTTTTCCTCTCTTAAAGAGAATATCCCTGTGTAATGCAGGGGAGAAGATGATGGAGGTGATAAGAGATATTGGAACTGCCCATAAATAGATACAGTAAATATATTGTAAATAAATAAATAAATGCATTTACAGAATGGTTGTTCTGCAGTCTGCAAGTTAGAAAATCCAAACCTGACACGCATGTACAGTAGAAGCTTTATCAGGCCAAAACATCATCCTAACTCAAAGCTTCAAAATGCACTGTCGGAAATTGCTCTAGTTATTACCTGCAATTTCTCCAAGGAATTCAAGTTGGGACGTGTGGTTGTCTACTCCTAGGCGTCTTTTAGCCTTAGAACAATTCTGTGAAATAGGTTTTATTCTGCTTAATTTACTAAAACATGCTCTGTCCTATGGCTGAAGAGGATCCCAAGGGACTTGTACACTCAATAACACAATTTAGAACAACATAGATTTGTCAAAACAGAACCTGTACTCCAGTGGACTGATTTCCAGACCCAAAGGTTTGAATGCCCGCTTCTGCTCTAACTACGAAACACAAAGACTTTTAATGGCCTTCCTCTTCATAAAGGACTGCACACTCTGTGTGTGTGTGTGTGTGTGTGTGTGTTCCTCTTCATAAAGGACTGCACACTCTGTGTGTGTGTGTGTGTGTGTGAACTGATGGGGTGCGTGTGTTGTGTTGTGTGTTACTCTCGCATCTACCTAAGGTTGGGTCAGGTGAGAATCTGTGATGCAGCGCACGAGTGGAATGCAAGTCGTCACATCTTCCAGATTTCAGGGAGAGCCGTCTCCCCGCTTTCATAAAAGGCCACAAGAAATCCATATTTTGTGGGCCTCTTCAGGTGTACTGGTTGCCAACCTTAATGGTCCTTCAGAGAATTAAAATCCCAAAGCTTGTCGGGACAGTTGGAGGAGAGGCGCTGCAGGGAAACTAAGTTATGATGTTTATGTCAACTTTCTTGAATGCCTTTTTGAGAACAGTGGGGCCACCGTGCCAGAGAGGAGTAGAAGAGAACGATGCTTTGTGGGTGTGTTGAATACCGTAAAAGTCAAGATGCTAGCCTAGGAGAGGGCAAGGAAGAGAGACAAAAACATGGGGCTTGTATTTAATTAATAGCAGTTTCTGGCTATTTCCCACCTTTCATGACTGCCTCCCTAGACAGCTTTTTCTTGAAGGACCAGTGCCCACTTTTTTCATGTCAGGATAACAAAAATTCACTCTTTCTCTGTTCCCGTGGCCTCCCATCTCTTCTTATCAATCCTTCCTGCCATGGATTCTCTGATCTTTAGGCATGTTATGAATAACTTTGAACACACGCTGCTGCTTCTGATCCTATGTTCTTTCTGTGCACCAGCTTACCATAAATGACAATAAGGGTAATTACAGAAATGTCTGTAAACATACAGATATCTTGGGGAAAGTTAGCTGGTTTATCATGAGCGGACTCAGACTCTTAGACAGAGTCATAGGAGGGGGAGATCTAAACGTATGAAAAATGGATAACCCCTGATCTAAAAGGTTTTCTATAAAATTGTTGCTTTGGGTTTTTTAAGGTGAAGGTGTCTGGGTTTTTGGAAATGCGAATAAATAGAAATTGTTGTTCGACTGTGTTTTATGTGGCCTCAAAATTCCAAACTGTTAGGATATTTATGCATAAAACCAGACATAAATAAATACTTTACCCAATTCTGCAGGTCACCAAAATTTAAAAAAACAACATTAATCACCATTATATCTTAACCCCAAGAATAAATGCTTTGCCCAATTCTGCGAGTCACCAAAATTAAAAAAAACAAAACACATTAATCACCATTATATCTTAACCCCAATACTTCTCAGCCATTATAATGACAGAATGATGAAAATTAAGAATAAAATACAATCAATGATAAGTATTTTTATTGGTTTCTATAGGATCAATGCATCAAGGCAACATTTAATTTGTAGTTTGTAGTATCAGAAGCTTAAGGTACATTCCACAAAGCTTCCGTCTTCCACACAAACATATCTCATTTAAATTACGTTTGCAAGACAGCGTGTCTGCTGATTCCCCATACTGTTCACAACACACATTCATGTTTATGTGCTGGGTATATTCTTGATTATTTTCTTATTGTTCAGTTTGAAACAGGGGCTTATGTGCTGGGTATATTCTTCATTATTTTCTTATTGTTCAGTTTGAAACAGCAGTTCAGAAGTAATACAGTTAAGCAAACAATGCAAGCTAAAAATTAGTCCGACTGTTTGAACTTCTCTATTAAACGTATTCAAAATTGAGCAGGAAGATATCATTAAATTGTTTTTAATTTCTCCCCGCTCCCCGTCATTCCTTATTTCCAAGTCTCGTCATTCCTTATTTCCAAGTCTCGCACATTAAAATAGAATTCAGAGTTCTTCTTGTTGTTATTACGTGCCATCCGGTCGCCTCTGACTTAAGGTGACACCATGAATGAGCGTTTTCCAATATGTATCTGTTGCAATTTGCTTGTTTTAAGTTTTGATTTCTGCAAGCAAATGTTTGGGCTGGAAGGGATGGGGGGGTTGTTTTATTTCCTCTCCCCCCCTCAGGAAGGAAAATTCAACACACACACACAAATTGTAGCAGTTCTTTAATGACAACACAGTCACATTCCCTGCAACAAGTTAGTAACAAATAGAACAAAAACGGATTCTGAATTGATTCTGAACCCCCTTTTAAAAATACAGTACTGCTTCTAAACACGCAGTACTTAAGTCAATGGAGCTGGACTGAGTGTATAAATGTGTTCAGGGCTGGGCTATCAAATTGCAGTTTCTACTCCACTTCCTTAATATTATCAGATTCAACAGAAATGTATAGAGGGCAAGCCTGATTCACAAACTGACTGATCCACTGGTGTTTTATTTGGTCATTTGGGACCCATTTTTTGGGTTCAAAATGACCAAATAAAACACCAAATGACCAAATAAAATTGAGCTGGGTTGATGAACGTTTCCTTCAATCAAATTGCAGCCCTCATGCCTTGCTAGTGCCGGAGGCTGTATCTGTCGCGTGAGGATCGCTGAATAGGGAACCGATCTCCCCTCTGTCAAAACCTCCGTGCGCTCCTTCCACAGTGGTGGGATGAGCTGCCCACCCTAATGGCTCAGACCACGGACCAGCAGAGGCCAAGGCTCAATACTGTATTTAGAATTTGCAAATGAAATGGATTGACAGGCTCTAGGAATATAAAATATGTCATGCATTTCACTTGATGTCAGACTCATTGAGGGCAGGTGTACAAAAGGGCCATTAGTAATTAGTAATTAATTACATGTCCACATTTAGCATCCTTGGGATGTTATGGACGAAGAACAGGGTGGCTACCCTGGTCGTACCTGAAAACTGTGAGTTACCTTGTGGCATTTGACGCTAGACAGTGAAGGAAGGAAATGCTCGGTCATACCTTGTTTCGGAAAGAGCATTTCTGATATGCATAGCTGATTGCTCCCATCCAGAAATGTCCAGAATATTCCCTTTTTCTGCAGAGAATGTACCTATGTTTTTTCTCCAAGATTCTTCCTTTTGCTGTAAGGCGGAGGGTTTCAAATAGATCAACCAAATTCAGGAACGGTTATTCTAAATACGTACATGGGCTCCGAACTTGGAGAAGTCACTTCTTTAGCTCCCGGAATCCCCTTTTGCCCATGGAATTTTGGGAAACGGTGACTCTTATAAGTAACTTTTAGAATTCTGTTTAGGATCACAGGGGTGTCGATCTTATTGCAAAGAAACGCTTTTAATCACTCAGTCCATCTAAATTAAAATGTTACGGCTGGTTCAGACATTTTATACTCTGTTCTGCCTGGATCCCAATTGAGAAAATAATAGTGGTGCTTAATAAAAAGAAATATCGCCCACAAAGCCTGTGGGTGTTGAGGTTACTGTGTGTGTATTGAGGCAATGATCCTTTGCTTCAGTTTTTTGATTCGGATTGCTAGAAAAGCAGAACTGGAAAGCGTGTCGGTGTGCGCGCAATGAATGGAAATAATTTTGATTTGCACCCACTGGGGCACAGTGGTCTCACCTTGGCTTCAGAGTGCTGGCCTCGATTCCACATGCATCGGCAAAATACAGCCTGGATTCAGGTGGGGAAATCACTACCTGACAATGACCCTTAAAGATGCCTTTTCTCCTAATTCAAAATATTAGCAAGAGGCGCTGGAAGAAGTAAATTCCTGGTTGGTTCAGTCCAAACACTGTGTGTGGAGGTTTTTCCAGTTTCCCCACAATGGACGGAAACCAGTACGGCACGGTCCCGATGTGTCCAATTATTGTCTTCTTTTTGTGAAGAGGCTGGACATGAAGGTACGCCATTAAGGCTGGCTGGGATTAAATGGAGATCCCTGGTTCGGAAAAGCAAAATAGCTTGAGAACTCCGGAGAAAGTTGTCCAGGGAAAACCAGAGGTACTCCGCCGAGGAGATTTCCAGCGCATTTGGACAGGAGGCCGGGTTGAGGCTGAAAGGGCGAAGCGTGGTGATGTCTCTGAGACAAGATGTAGTTTGCTCGGCTTGCCATTAAGTTGACAGAACAGGAGTCTAAGCGGTCAAGGGCGGAGAGGCCGCAAGGCACGGCTGAAGCCAACATCGTGGTCGTGATGTGTTGGTGGCGGCTGCACGGAGCGTCTTCTTCTGACTGTCTGTGGATCTCTGGAGACATCATAGCCTGATGGGAGGAGAACCAAGAGAAGGCACCGGGGTGATGATGGCCCAAGAAAGCTGAGGAGGACCCACAGAGAGGCGGCAACGGCCAGCAAAGCGACCCGGAAAACGTCACCTCAGCAGAAGCCAGCCCACCTCCTCTTCTGAAAGCCAACTTGGCCCGGGATCCGGGGGACCTCCTCCTAAGTTTGCCGGTGACCCCTACGATGAAGACGTCCTCGCTGGAAGGACCCAACATCCAGAAGTTGCCCTTCCCGGGGTCGTCGTAGTGCCGGGGCACCTTCACGAAGCATTTGTTCAGGCTGAGGTTATGGCGGATGGAATTCTGCCAGCCTTGCTTGTTTTCCTTGTAGTAAGGAAAGTTCCCCATGATGAATTCGTAGATCCCGTTGAGCGTGAGGCGCCTCTCGGGACTCTGGCGGATGGCCATCATGATCAAGGCGTTGTAGCTGAAGGGGGGCTTCTCGAGTTTCCCTCTCCTTTCCCCCGTAAGCTCCTCTTTCCTCAACTTCTGGCGTTCTTCTTCATCGCTGGCGGCCACTGAGAGGGTCTCGTCTTCCCTAAGTGGCGATGACAGAGAGCCCCGGGGAGCTTTGTTTGACGCCCCGTCTTGAAGGAGGTTTGTGATGCTGAAGGGAGATTGCAGGGCCCAGCTGTTGGTCTTTAACCCTTCCATGCCTGCTGAGGGACGATACGGAATGGGGTCTTCTTGGGTCCGGCCAACCGTCAACGATAATGCCAGCCAACCCTGTCTGGCAAACCCACTGGGTCTCTCTCTCTGAACCCTGAAGCAAAGTGACCGCTCCTGTGCTGGGCATTGCCCACACCACCCACCCACCCCCATCGGGTTCCCTCTCTTTTTAGCCACTCAAGGCTAGCTTTCTTGCATGTGTAGCCAATCTGGTCTTGATACCGTCACTCTCCACACCCTCCCCTTCTGTATCATGAGCAGGGGGGACGGCATGCTTTGCAACCCACGGGGAGCATTACCCTTCAGTGAGATTAGCACTTCTGCATCTCCAGAAGAAAAGTCCCAGAAATAATCTACAGTCTAGATCTTAGTATGGTTGGAAATCCAAGCACGAACACATTGTTGTTGTTGTTGTTGTTGTTGTTGTTGTTGTTGTTGTTGTTGTTGTTGTTGTTATACTGTACTTCAATTTTAAGAGCCATCTTGAGGATTCTGGGAAGCGTAGTTTAAAAATGGACTTTTCCCAAACTCTGGTGGAAATTGTAATCTAATTAATTTGATGTAAGCCACTTTGGGTTCTTTTTAAGGAGAAAGGCAGGATAAAAAAATATATTTTAAATACATAAACTGATTTGTACTCTAAAATATTTATTTATTTATTGAATTTATATACTGCTCCATTAGTTCAGCACGCTCTCCTGGGTGGCTTATCATCATAAAATCACAGCACTTAACAGAATTAAAATAAAAACACACGGAAAATAACAAAATAATCTATATTGTGGTTATTTGCCACCTGCGCTGCGCTGTTGATGAGGTATAACTATGCAAGGTTTCCTTTTCTATGCTCCTCAAAATGTCAACTTGACCAGATATAAAGTATCTGTGATTATGGTTTTCTAAGAGTTCTGAATGGTTTATGTCTTGCCTTTTTATTCCGGCAAAAAGCTTATCGAGTAGATGACGTCCAGAGATCCTAACCGCTCTCCATTCTAGGCTGAAAATGGATTAGAATCCAAATTTCTTTTGTGTAATATTATACCCATCAGTTTTAAAGGGTTATTAATGGTGGCAGTAACTTCTTCTTGACTACTCCTTTCATTTGCCATGCCTAATTATTCACTGAATTAAGTTCTTGAATCCCTTGTGTTGGCAGGGGAGTGGAGGACTCCATGAGCGCTTGACGGTTACTTCCAGCTCTGCATATCTATGCTTCTATTAATTATTTACAATATATCACCAAAATATATAAGAAAACTGCCGGACAGGTCCCTGGCTCCAGAGGGTCTCTTCCAGCCCTGCAGGTCTAAGATTATGATGATTAAAAGGCTGTCCCCATGCTTCTGCCTGTATTGAGTTAAGCCCATGTTCATGCTGAATGCATAACTAGATATAAAATCCAGCAAATAGATCACAGCTCTTCTGTAAAACACAGTGTGGGTGACTGGGCAGGACCGGGGTGGGGGGTGGGGATGGTGAGAGATAACATTTTATTTTAAAAAAATCTATAGAAGCAAAACTGTCTCTGTTACAGTTTTAGGCTTTCCAAACCCCAAGGGATGGGCTGAATTAGTTTTGCCAAATAATCCTCCTGGCTTTAAAATGTGGCGAATAATTTACCCAACCACTTATACTTCCCCAAGACATATTAAATGTATATTTTAAAGCATGGGTTTAAAAATATAGTAAGATACATTTTTTATTTTTTTTTTTTACTTGTCTCTCACTCTTCCATTGGGAAATAAACTCCAGTGCCCAACCCGAAAGGAGTGAACAACAGAAGAAACAGACTAGAGATTTAAAAACACAAGGATGGGGAGAAAAGGGACACTTGTAAGAAAATAACGCCTTAAAAATGCAACGCTGGCTCAAAATGTAGAGTAATTCATCTCCTACAGCTACCTCTGCAAAAGCATGTTTTGCTAAAGGTTGGATAAAGTCAGAATTTGATAAAAATTGACCGAGCGGCTTCTTCAGTAGGCGCTCCCTAGGCACCCTCGTGTCACAGAATTGTATGTGACGAAGAGACACCAAAGTTCATCTAGACTGACCCATTGCTGGGGATGAATATCCACAACTGAAGCATGTTTGATAGAGAGCTGCTCAACTTCTGTCTGAAAGCCTCAGACAAAAGGGAGCCTGCCACCTTCTGAGCCAGTCAGGCGGCTCTATCCATCATTGACATCATCGCAACAGTAGGCCTTTATAAGTGTGAAGGACAAGTCAGTGTCTTCTTGACTATTCATCAGGTAGAAATTTTCATCACCTTATCAGACATTTAAAATAAACATTTTCTTTTTTAAAAAAGTCCCCAAGCCTATGTGCAGGGATTATAATTTATGCTTCTTCTCCATGATTTTTACAAAGCAGATTTTATTCTACATCATCCTCTCGGTGTCCTTCAAATGATGCAGATTGGAGTTAGTGTTGTTTCTGTGAAAAGTATGAAACCGTGGACTACTTGAATGAATGTTTTAAATCACTGCTGCTCTTTAGAGTAATGTCTTTTAATATGATTCTTTCTGGGATTTATTTGCAATGAGAACATTAGACGTGGAAGACAAATTATGATTAGTTGGAAATATGAATTGCATGTATTCGAAACGAAGGTCCTGCCGTCCATGTCATGAAGCTCGGTGGAAAGAGTTGGCTGTTTAAAAAAAATTCATTTTTACATCCCCAAAGGAACCATAGATTCTAATCTGCCTCTCAGTCGGTTCTTCACCCTCCAACTGATGTATGTATTTTTAAATCTCTACAATATATTGTTGGTTATTTAACATGAATATTTTCCTCTGTCTTCATCAAACGTAATGGATACTTGGGTTTAAGAGCAATTTAGATCTTAAAATAGCTACAGGATAACAGGAAACTTTCATTGTTACCAAAATCTTGTGGCAACTATTTGAAATGAATAATTATAAAAATAATCCTCATAGAACTGCAGAGCTGAATTGAATCCAGCCCCTGTTAAGGAGGCGCCAAGGGGGAATTGAACTCCCAACCCTTAAGCCATTGAGCTATCTAGCAGTTCTCTACATGTGGTTAATTTCACAGCTGTTTTCTAAATAATTCGGTGAAACTGGCCAAATTATCTCTAGGTAATTCTGAAATAGAGGGGGGGAAGAAGTTTTAATCGAGTAAATAGTCATTCCTTCATATGTTGCACATAGTAAGCCACCAACCAGCTGCTTGAGAAACCGAGGTGAGTTTTAATAACTAATTATTTCGCTTGATTCAATTGCCACAGGATCGGGTGGAAGCCCCCGTCTTGTTTGAGACAACTGGGCTTAAATCTTGGGTGTAAGATCATAGTTACGAAAAGTAGATATTCCCTCCGAAATCTTCTAAATGGTTTGTTTTGGTTTGGGCTGAATATTTAATACTGAAACTATTTATCAGCATTGGAACAAAATACAAAGCTATGCATTTGTGATTTTCTACTTTTTAACAGCAGGCTTTAACTGAGACTTTTAAAATAAATTAATAGATGTGTTTTCGAAGAGATCTGAGAGGGGGAAAATCGTATTAACGTTGTCACGTCCAAAAAAAGAATCAAAACATCTCGAATAGTTATTTTAAAAATTATTACTTACATCTTCAGTCAGAAGACAAAACTGTACAAACTGTTTTTTTAAACAATTTAAAATCCTATTCCATGGTTTCCTAATTTGCTTTTCAGTCAGTGTTTAAGAGGTACAAAAGTGCATCATTTGCATCAAAAATTATTTGTAATGTGAAATTCTTGTTTGTCCAAGAATGGACAGTTTAGGAAGAAAATTAATGAGAATAAAATGTTGAAACAGAAATCCATGAAGCCTATTTATTCACGTGAGATTTTAAAAAAGCATAGGACTCTTGTGAAAGAAAGAAAGAAAGAAAGAAAGAAAGAAAGAAAGAAAGAAAGAAAGAAAGAAAGAAAGAAAGAAAGAAAGAAAGAAAGAAAGAAGAAAGAAAGAAAGAAAGAAAGAAAAAGAAAGAAAGAAAGAAAGAAAGAAAGAAAGAAAGAAAGAAAGAAAGAAAGAAAGAAAGAAAGAAAGAAAGAAAGAAAGAAAGAAACTAACTTTGTATACCTGGCTACATATTTTATGGAGCCTTAGTATCATTAGATTTAAAAAGCAAAATTCTTGCTAAGAGAAGCACAGTAAAAGAATAGCTGAGAGACAAATTAAAAATAGCAAGAGGTATTGTTTTCTCATGGTCCACATTCATAATCCGGTACAACCACTTTAAAAATGTTGTTCCCATATTGTTTCAACTTTTGATTTGGGATTTTTAAAACTGTTTATTTTATTGTATTAATTTTATTTGTTTATTTAACAATTTTAACACATCCACCCTCTTTGTGGACTGGCATCTGTTTTCTGTGCCCCTTCCTGATGGGTTTGTTTTAACACTGGGGTCCTTTTCTGTTGACATGTAAGCGCAGCTAGTTGGTTTTACATACATCTGTAGAAGTCTGCCTTTCTGCACAGCCTGATTTGTTTCGCCAACAACATGGAAAACTCTCTAACGAAATTAAGTCGCTGAAGACCTGTCTGTTAACCCAAGCATTTTTCTGATTTCCACCCCATGATTTTTAGTGATTTATCAGCCAACTTTAAAAGTATTTTAATGAATTATTTTTAATGGATTTTATTGTCTCATCTTTTTATTTACCTACACTTTCTCTTCTATTTGTTTTTTATCGTTAAACCGCTTTCAGATTGTTTTTTTCAAGGAATGAAAAGCTCTGTGAAATGAATGAGTAAAGGAAATAAGTGATGTCTGCCGGATGGTGCCATTTTGTTTTTTCACCACTGGACCTCCCAAATGACTTTCATCATCATCATCATCATCATCATCATCATCATCATCATCATCATCATCATCATCATGTGCCCACAAGTCTATTCTGACTTCTGCCAACCTTTTTTCAGGGTTTTCCAGGAAGAGAATACTGTACTCAGAAGTGGTTTACCTTTTCTTTCCTCTAGGGGGAGCCC